GAGCAGCGGCCCCCCCGGCCAGCTTTCCCCCAGTTTATGTACTGAGCATGACATCACATGGTATGGAATGTCCCTTTGGCCAGTTTGGGTCAGCTGTCCTGGCTGTGCCCCCTCCCAGCTTCTTGTGCACCTCCAGCCTTCTCAGTCGGTAGGGCATGGGAAGCTAAAAAGTCCTTGACTGGTGTAAGCACTACTTAGCAACAACTAAAACATCGGTGTGTGATCAACATTATTCTCATCCTAAATCCAAAACACAGCACTGTACCAGCTACTAGGAAGGAAATTAACTCTATCCCAGCCGAAACCAGGACAGTAACTAATGGATTAGGGCCCATGGTGGGCTGATGAACTGGAAAATAACCTGATTCATGTGTGGTCTACATGTGCTGGTTTGTATTCCTGTGTAGCTGATATAGAATTGGGTACAGAAAAGGTACTGAGGCTATAGGCAAAAATGAAGCATTAGTATTAAGGTTACTTTTGGAGCAAATACATTATTTTTAGCATGCATAATAGAGCATGTGACCTGCAGGTAGGGGCAGGAAAATGAGTTACTGTGGGATAAATTGGCTGCTTGTCTGCTAGTCTGTAAAAACTATCCTTGTGCATGCTCTCACAGTGCAGCAAGTGAAAGCAAGTGATTAAGGGGAGGTAAGGAAAGATTCTAATATCCTCATGGGATGTGTGCGAGGCAGTTGCTATGGGGAAACTGGTGCTTTGTAAGTTTACCCTTTACCTTACCAGTAGCGACTTGGCTATCAATACCCAGAATAAATTGTAGAATATATGTCTTCGTAAGACTTTCCTTTTCTTGAAGTTTTATAAAGCTGTTTTATAAGAACATATACTTCTTTAATAAAAGGTAAAATGTTGTATTACCTGTTGGTATTTTTTCTCTCCCTGTCTGCTGTCTTCCACTGTGCAACTGCATCTTGAACTTCCTGGTGAGAGCTTTTGCTCTTGCCTGAAGCACACACATAGGCTCAGCCTTGAGAGCTTGAGCCAAGCTCATTCCACTCAATAAGCCTTCTGATGACTCTGGTGGCCCATATCCTTGTTTTCAGTTGTCACAGTGTTGCAAGCTGTGAAATGGGCATTTCAGCCAGTAGAAGATAGTAGAATGATTACTTTTGGAAACTTAAAGCTGGTGAAGAGGGGCAAGTAAATTGAGAGAAAACTGAGTTCAAGACCAAAGTTTATAGCAAAAGTGAAAAGGGTTTTCTGGGAGACAGGATTGTTGTCATAGGGTTTGGTTTTGAGAAGGTGTGGGACAAGAAGATGAGGCATTCCAGAAAAAAAATTGTTTTGTGGGGTTTTTCTAATGCAAGTTCTCTGCAATTTTTTTTCACAAGTTTATAAGCTCATTTGAACATGGCATGAGATTTTTCTTGCGTGTATTTTTCTTGCAGTTTTAAAGACCATTTTGCATGGAACAAGGTGACATCTTGCATCCATAACATCTTAAGTGGGCAAAGATGGATTGAACACTATGGAGAGATCATCATCAAAAATCTTAATGATGACACTTGCCACTGCAAACTGACTTTCATAAAGGTAACCACAGCAGTAACCACAGCAATGTTGGCAGTGCCTTTTCTAACAGACACAGCAGTGGGTGGATGCTCTCTGCTGAAGCTCAGTACAGCTGCTTACAAGCTGTATTTTCCTATAGTTCTGCTGTAATTACCTGTGATTCTTTGAGTAACTTTAACTCTGAAGGAACTGCCACTCACTAGGTAGAGCCAGACAAGAAAGAGAAGCAACAGCTTTCTCAGGTGATTCCACTTGAGATGCAGAAAGGTATGGGGAAAGGAAAGGAAGACATACGATGAAAAACCTACACTGTGTTTGATGAGAGGTAGGCACGAGGTGGCTTACCACATGCCTCCTGTTAACAGATTGGCATGTGCTGTGGTTGCATTCATTCAGCAACGGTAGAACCAGTGCTTATGCGGGGTGCTTCACCCAATGCTCTTTTCCAGCCCTTTGCGGGTACTCGGAGGAGCTTAAGTGAGAGGTTGTCGTGTTACTCAAAGCTTTTGCTTCAGTACAAGGCATCAAGATATGACTTCCTCAGGAAATGCCCTTATAACTGAAATTAAAATTAGTTTTGGGGGATAGATGACTTCTTCCTAGTAAAGGAAAATCAATGAAAACCTAAAACAATGCCAAAATTTCAAACCTGAGAAATAGTCCTGCAAAGCACGCTAGGACACTTACCTTAACCTGCATTTTCTGTATCTGATTGCTGGAGAAAGGCTGTGCTTTACATAGAAACAGACCATACAGATACAAGCTAAGTACTTCAGCATACCTATGCAGCATGGCATGTTCAGCAGCAGACAGAAAGTTTCCTTTTCCTATTTGTTTTCCTGAATACTTTGTGCTTTCTAAGAAGCATTAGGGTGATTGGGTTTTTTTTCCAAATACTTATTTCAAAGTACTGTAATGTATTTGCAGAGTTGCAGTGGATGTTTAAAGTCCAAATTTTAAAGATTGAGAGCTTGCAAATCTTATACCTTTGATATTGTAAGTTGTCTAAAGTGGAGATTACTGTATCAGTTCCTTCTCTTCCTCTTCTGCAAATTTGGGGAAGATGTAGGTAACTAAGGCAGGAGTCAGTGTTACCTGTCATTAGGCAAAATTCAAGGTCAGCTATGCTTCACCTAGTACTGCCCCGAAAAAAGACAAACAAAATAAATATGATTCTCAATGTTAGTATTTTAATAAGCCGATTAATAGTACTAACAGCAGTTGTTTGCATATGATACTGTAATGCACACCTAAATGAATAGTTTTCATTTCAGAAAACCACTCTACAACATGGTGCTACTGACACGGCAAAATCACTCACACTTGATCTCATATGCACCTTTTTTCCCCTTGTTTCTTTTCATTCTAGGCCAAGTACTGGAATCCAAATGCACATGAGATTGAAGGCAGTGTCATGGATAAAGCCGGGAAAGTTGTGCATCGACTCTTTGGGAAGTGGCATGAAAGTTTATACTGTGGGACAACTTCATCTTCAAACTGCGTATGGAGAGCAAGTTAGTGATTGGAATGGCTGACGTACAGAACTTGAGATCTGCTTGAGAATGAGCTTACTATTTTCATCTCTATTAGGCCCCAACTTCCTGTTATTTCTATGTGGAATATTAGATTTTTGTCAAGCATTTAAAATTTAGACCAGAAGAATACATCATTTAACTTAAATAATATAGAGAACCTAATCCCATGGCTTCCTGCATTTTCTCCATTCTCCCTCATTTTCATATTTGGGCATGAAGTGGGTATTGAGGACTCTAAAAGGAAGAAAAAAGAAAAAAAAAAAGAAGTAACAGAACCCCCCACTTTTTGTGTAGAGAAGTGTGGTGTATTTCATGTATTAAACATTGGAGACTAGCCCACAAAGCTCAGTTCTGTAGTGACAGCCATAACTTCTGAACTTTCTGAACTTCTCCCAAACTCATGGGGTTTTGTCTACTGTAGTTTGAAAAAGCACTATGATAATACTGTGGCCTTCATCACAGTTGTGCTCTGATTCAGCTGAGAGAACAGAAATATGTTTTGTTGCAGTGCAATTATCAAGGGGGATGTTCTCTTTTGTTACACTATTGAAAACCTCCTCTTCTCCCAGAATTGAGACCGTGGTTCAGAGATGAACAAATGACTGAGGGGAGCTTGGAATTTTCCTTCTAAAGATAATAGCATTTAATTGGAATTCTGCATGTACTCTCTTCTTCTGTAGATCCGATGCCTAAAGATCATGAACAGTGGTATGGATTTACTCAGTTTGCACTGGAGTTAAATGAACTGGAGCTGCAAACTAGGTCATTACTCCCATCCACTGATACACGTTTTAGGCCAGACCAAAGGTAAGAAGTTTTAAATATCTTCCTCAAATAGTTCTTAATCTTCTGTACGCTCACTTTACCCTAAGCTCAGACTATTCTGTGTAGATACCTGAGCGTGTTTCTATTTCTATGTTAAAGTGCATCTGAAACAGACATTTTAATCACTAAGAGATGGTCTAGTCATTATGGACCAGTGTTTCCTAAAATTGGCTCTTGCATGCTTCTAGATAACTGCCTTTCCAAAGATGTTAAACCTTCAGTACTTCAGGTACTGGCTGTTGAGCGTACTGTGTTTGAATAGCCAAAAACTGAGACACTTGAAATTTCTTTCTGCGGTGGAATTTCTACTGTTGCTAACTTCCAAGGAAAAGAATATAATATAACAATGAATGAGCTTGTTATGGGAGTTACTTTTCCGTAAGTGCTTTTTGATAGTGCAGTTGTCTGCAGATGTAGCTGTTTACCTTTCAAACACTGTGAACTGCCTGCTGTAAAGATTAGATTCTGGAGCTCTAGAGGGCCTGGCAAAGATGGGGGACAGGAACACCAATTGTGTCTCTTATCACCGCTGGTCCTACAGGTTTCTAGAAGAAGGGAATATTGAAGGAGCTGAAATGCAAAAGCAGAGGATCGAGCAGCTACAGAGGGAACGACGGAAGGTGCTGGAAGAAAACAATCTAGAGCATCAGCCTAGATTTTTCAGGTACTATATAATAATTAACATATACTATAATTTATTGAAATTCTTATTATAGTTCTGGTTCTAAACTGCCATAGAGCAGGCTCCATTTTTTTCCAGGTTTCTTCTATATTCTTGATTTTTGTACTTTGGCAATGTAGAACACTTCAGACTTAATTAAAACTCAGGATTATATATTGCTTTTTCATTAGTGCATCCCTGAATTTCTTTCTAATTTTTTTGCCTTGATGGTGATTGATATTTAGTCTACGTTTGAATTTGCCTGAGTGAATGTAGCATCTTTGATTCTTTCAAGCAAGGCGAAGTAGCTGGATTTAGCTTAATTACCTCTGCTGAACTTCTGCTGAATTCAGTGGGATTGCCTTGTGCAGAAGTGTGCAGAGCTGGAGCCTTTCATTTCCAGGGCTATTTTTGAACATGTTTCCCCTATATGATAGGGAGAGAATTATCATTCAGAGGGCACTTTATTTCTTCCTGTTGTAAATCAATTAATGGGAGACTTCAGCCATTGAAAGACAAAAATGAATGCTAGCGAGGACATGGCCTTTTGCCCTCCAGCTTCTCTGTTCTCCTGCAATGAAAGAGTTGGAGCCAAGGTGATTGTTGTATGGGCCTATGTATCACAGTTAACAGATCTGGGATCCTAATTTTTTTCTGGATAGATAGATACTGTACTTCTGATGAGCACAGAAACATTTAAAATAGGTGCAAAAAGGAAATGCCTCAGACCGCTACTTGTCCAAGGAGCTGGTGAGCTAACTCATCACATGTCAATCGCACCTGCCAAAGAGAAGCATATGTTGCTTCCAGCAGGCTAAAAAGACAGGGTAGAGACAAAGTCTAGTACTTTGTAATTGTATATTCACAATGAGGACTGTGAATGTGGATGAGGATTTGAATCCTCACAATGAGGATTTGAAAGTCGAGATTTGTGCTTTAGATTTAAATAACAGAATAAAAAATGTAATTACTATATAGCAGAAGTGTTACCCGGTTTTAGAGTAGATATGAATTATGCATTTGGCTTTTCAATAGCGATTTCGCTCTTCAACAAATCACAAGCCTTGATTTACTTAAAAGAATAATTTGCTGTTGTGCCAAAAATGTTGTACACTAGATTAAAAGCAGACTGATTCCTTCAGGTTACAGTCCCTAGAGCAATGAGTCTCGCCTCTTGACTGAGAGCTATAGGCTCTCTTTATGCAATAACTGTGGTGAGCCATCTTTGGAGAGGTAAAAGGAAAGTTTCCGCTTTCCACTCAAAGCTACCTTTGAGACCACAAAATAGACCTGGACTGTAGTTTTAAGTGCTAAGCAATGGCATGTGACAGTGAAATAAGAGCGCTGATCTCAGCTGAACACTGGGCTACTGAGGTGCATCTCCAAGGCCCAGTGCAGACAGACCAGTTCAACTCCGCGAGCTATATTGCCTTGTTTGAAGGCTGTACTGAGTTGCACTGCACCTGGTTCACGGGCTGGATTGGGTATCTGTGCATAGTGCTACATTGCATTACACAGCATACGTATGGAAAATATAAGCTTTACATTTAAGGCATTTGTTTAATCTTTGATAGGAAATCCAATGATGATTCCTGGGTGAGCAACGGAACCTACATGGACTTTAGAAAAGAACCTGGTTTTTCCAAACTGGACAATCCTGTCCTCTGGTGAAAGAGGAGTCAAGTGAAGATATTCTGTGCTGTATTCTCGGATCTGATTTAAAAGAAGTATACATAAAATATATCTATATATATACATATATATACACACACACACATATAATATATGTGTGGGGCGTGTATGTGTGTAAGTGTGCATAATTGTGCTTAATTTAGAATCTGATAATTCATTTGTTTTCTTTACTCTGACTATTGCAGTAGTTGTTTGAATGAAAAAATACCCTAACTTCTTTTTATAAAATATTTAATAAATAGTACTGAATGTTAACAGCGAGAGGGAAAAGAGGACCTTTTACACTACTTTTCCAACATGTAATAATGTCAGTTCTGAGTTAACTTATGCCTTATTGAATTGCATTGGAGACAGCAGCATTAGCATCTCCTAGCTGTGCTGAGAAATCAGAGCGTAAGCCTTAGTAACTCAAACTGTAAGTAGGCTTCCACAGTTCAATGAGTAGTTCGGCTGTCTCTGGGCTGGTATAAATTGCTAAAACAGATTATCAGCTGGTGCTGGAATCCGAGTATGATCCTTTGCTGCGTGTAGAAAAGATTTAAATAAGCTTTTGTTTCTATTAGTTTTCTTCTTAGCATTATGGAAGAGGTAGTTCTGAGCTTACATCAGTGGTTCTACTGCCTTATACGTAAACTGTACCTGGCTAAATGTAGTGCTAGAAATTCAGGAATCGCCAAAATTTTGCACTGGGAATCTTCAGATTTTATAGCCCCCAACAGGGCAAGAGGAGGAGATCCTTTGTACATAATGCTTAAGCACTGACTAGATGAAGAAGCTCTCTTTTTCCAGTAAGTAAAATCTATACAGAGCACGAAATCCTGTGCTTCCATAGCTTTATTTGTTTTTATTAACCTAAAAATTGCAACAGTAAGACTTTTTAAAAAGTAAGCAAACTGATTGTTTTAAGCTAGAAATTTTTTCTTAGTATTTTGATATTTTCTACCTCTTAAGAAATGAACAGCATATTTAAGATCTTATATTTAAAAAATTACCATCTGCCTTATGGAGAAATGTATGGAGTCTTTGATCTTCCTCTGTTTGTTTGTTATGTTCAGATAAATATTCAAGTGTCTTGCACTAAACCAATTGCATCTCTTTCCTGTAATTTTATACATATGGCTAGATTTGTGGAACTACTAAACTATAGGTCAGAAATATAGCAGGAAACAAATGTAGCAAAGTCGCACTTTTGAATGATTATAGAGATAGGCAGTATTTTTTTTCCCCCCCATCAAATCACAATGCCACAGTCATTAACAGAATAATTTGCATTCCTACCTATCTGCAACTCAAGCCTGACCCATGATTCTTCAAGTCTGTTCTGTGTCTGTGACTCTCTGGCAACAACACAGTTTGCAAGTTTAGATCTGTATCCTGTCGCCACCAGCACCCCCTTTTCTTTTTCTTACATGCCACTTTAATGACAAAAAATAAACCCAAATGTTGTTGGCATGTTTAACTGGCTTATGACTGGAACAATTGGACAAGGCATGGATAAGGGAGACTCCTAAGGGGACTAGTAGCTTAGAAAAGCTTGCACTTTACTGTGTGCTGCATTGTTCTAAAGAAAACCCATTAAAAATGGATCCATGTATTATACGTAACATGAAGGAAATACTATGAACGCTTCCACTTTAAACCACATCTCTGATGTCAGATTAGATGTATATTTGAATTTTGCTTTCTGTTACATTGAAACCCCATTGTCTTAGAGGCAGACGAATGCCTTTTCACCCTTTTTCACTTTGCCCAGGAACTCTGCCTCACTACCATTTCTGTAATTTATTACCAAAGAAGTTAGCATAATTCTTTCTATTTAATATGTCTTTTAAAGACTTGACTACCACGCCAGCAGCTTAGAATAAGGCAAGGTTCACGTCAATACGAGGACAAAATCTGGGCTTTGATTCCAAAGGAAATCTTAACCTTTGGGGGCTGTTTGGCTTTTCAGGGAAAGTGAGGATCTCTTTGTGGCTTGTTCCCTTCCTCTGTTTTAGTCTTGTATTGACTGTCAAAACTTGGCACAAAAATGAGTTGATATCTGTAATTATTCTTGCTGTTGGTAATTACCATTTATACTAAAAATAACATTCATTTAACAACAAAAAAGGGTAGGGAAAATAAAAAAAAAGCTTTTAAGAAAGGGAGCAAAATTTGTGGAGGATGCATTAAACTTGCTCATCATCATACTTGGCAGGTACTGTGATTACGGTCTGATCTGATTGCTGGGTTTGTATTTTCTGTGTATGCAGGGGATTTCCCCATACTTTGTCGTATGACCTAATAGTTGATAGCATCTAAAATTAAAGGATTAGAGGCCAAAAGGCAAAGTTAAAGAATTGTAATGCATTAAAATCAGCAGGTGTTAAACAAAACTAATATCTTATTGGGTGTTTGAGTCATGATTTTTGGGAAATCAGACTGGCAGTGTTGCCTTGTATCTTACAATCTAAAATGTCTAAAATACATTTGATTGATGACAAGAAGCATTGGGCTGAGTAGTGCCTTATATAAAATTTTCTTCAGCAAAATTCCCATATCAAGAAGGTAAACTTCAGAATTTTACTGTCATCTCCAGAAAAATAATGCCTGAGAATAATCCAGGGCATTTCTTAAATACATGAAGCAAAATCATTGCACAATAGCTCCTTTTGTAAATCTCTGATACACATCTGCAAACATGGTGTAACCAGTTGTGAATGATCCTCTGACCCCATGTTTCCAACTGCAGTATAGTTGTCCCTGCTTACTTTTGTACAAAACAATTGGGTTTAGTTGTTAAACTTCTGTCAACTGTGTATCAAGTAGTGGAAGCAAATTGTCTTGATGTTACTTCTGTGTATTTCTGCATAAAAATACAGTCATCATTCACAAACCTTAATATACTCTCTACAGTTATTCTTGGTAAAATATGAAATTTTGGTAATTTTCTTCCCCAAAACTTCAGATGTGTTAATGGGTGCAAAACTTACATCAGCTTTCTGCAATATAACTAAGACAGCTCTTGTTTTTAATAACTGACATTGAGGGACTGTTTTCCCCCATTTCTACCCTGAATGGTAAAAAGAACGTATCAGGCAACTTACTGCTTTCTTTCATACACAGCAGTGATCCCCAAGCTGTTTAGCTCAATGTATCAGTCTTAAAATTTCCTGATGATTGTTGCCAGTTGCTATAGCTCTCTTATTTAATGACTTTATAAGCATTACTTAATATGATTTTGGAGGGCACTTTGAGAAGCACTCATCTAGCACTGCCTTTCTTTGTGTATCCATTCACAAAGTAAAAAACTCACTATAAACTTACATCAAGGTGATGGAGCAGCTCAGGCCTTTGGGTGTTAAAACACTGGCTCAGTTTTCAAATTATACAGCAAAGGAAGAAAAAAAAATCCAGGGAAATAGCATTCATAGAAACCCACAGCTCTACTTCCAGATTTGCCAACTTGACACTTAGTTTCTGATTTTGGTACAGTGTAAGTTTGGGATTATGAAACAGCATAACTTGTTTAGGAGACTACTCTTGATAGCATAAAGTGCCCTTTAGCCTGAGTGGAACTGGAGTGCACCATTAATCATTGCATTCCTTTCTTAATCTCTGCTCTCTGACATATGCTTTATGTGTTAGTTTGCCAGCACTGATTTACTTCTTTTAGATGCTTTTTGAAATACAGATCTGGTAAAGTACTTAGGTTCTTTATACAGAGCTTGGAAAACTAGATGCATGGCAGGAAGAGCGAAAACAGCCAAAATTTTGAGAAGGAAACATCCTAGAGATCTGTTCTTCCACCACCAAGCTTTCTTTGAAGAACTGGAAGCAGGATTGCTGCTTTCTTTTAAAACCTGGCCTGTGAAGGAGGTGGTGGTTGCAAACACGGTCACCTTATTATCTGGCAGTTTCGTGTTGAAGCCAGATCACTGTACAGAAAGGAACACAAATTCACAGGGCCAGAACGTACAACCAGGGACAGCTTTGGGGTTGCACAAAGGTCTAGTGCTGGTCTCAAAAAAAAACCCAAAAAACCAACCTAACAAAAACCTCACCCCTTCCCATGCCCCCCACTTTCCCTCAGCTGTTTACAGTCCTGTTAAGGTTTTCTACATGGCCCCTCATACCTAAAAGTCCTTATTCAGTGTCCCATTTTCTCTTTATTAAAAAAATTTCTGAAGAGTAGGAAAACAGTCCATTCCAACAAGTTTTTAAATGACAAATCATGCCTAAAAGCTGCAGTTAAAAATTTTCCCCATAAACATTGTGGCCTACTCCTGTATCTTTTCCTTGACTGTGAACAGGACTTTCTTCCCACTTGCACTCTGGAGTCAGACCTGGTAAGGGTAGCATGTTGCAGAAATACGCAGCTACATCTGCTCAGCATACTCCTAATTAACGTCCTTGCACCTGCTTTTGCATAAATATCTTCTGTCATCTCTCTAGATGACCAGCTTTGCAGGGCAGGAGATTTTCAGCATATCTTGCTTTGTTCAATACAGCTTTTTTTGTGTGTACAACTCATACAGAGGGGGCAAGCTGAAGAGGAGTGCAAAATCTGGCCCACAGTGCATATATAATAGAGAGAAGGATGAAATCCAACCTCTCCACATAACTGAATACATCTTGCAAGGGCTAGAGTCAGATGGTGGTGTTCAAAGGTGTGAAGTTAAAATGGAAGGGGTTTTTTTGGTCGAGTGTGTTTTCATTCATGGATTATGCCTATTATGAATAAAATTCACAGTATTCACTAATTCATCCTTTCTATTTTCTAGCTACTGGTGGGTGCAACTTACTCCAGCAGCTGTGGGTTCATAAGAAACTGCACGTTATCTAGCTTATCTGTTGAAACTTAGTAAATGCTGTAACTTATCACCAAATGTGTTATTGTACTGCTCAGTTCTTAGATACTGTTCTTGCTGCAGCTTTTGAAAGCAATAAGAGAAATTTTCCACATAAATAGTTGCCATATGTTAAAAAAATATTTTAAGCAGTTCCTTTTTTATATAAATTGTGGATTTGGTGTTTTTGTTGTATAAAACAAAACTGTATTAAAGCTTATGAGAACGTTTGGGAGGTGGATCCACAAGAGGTGATGAGCTCCTTCAGCCCGGCACCTTTGGGATGGTTGGTACCCCTGAGAATCAGGAAGTCTTGTATTTATGTTAACGTTATTTTACTAGTTCCAGTACTGGAAAAACATACCATATGTATGAGGTGTTACATACGCAAAGCTGCTAAATGCTGAATTTATTGTTTGTTTTGATAGGGCATTAGTGATTTCAGAATGAAGAAAGGTATCTTATGTGTTAGAATTATCACTGACTTTCAGATTTTTGAGAAAATGTTCCGTAGTCAGGATCATTCCTGTTTTCTGCTTCACTTACTCCAAAAATTTGTAATAATGTTGGAGCACCTTGATGTGCAATTTGATTTATTATTTTTGTCTCTGTAACCAATTTAGTTGGATGTTAATAAATCATACTTGCAAAAGGTCATAGAGCACCCTGACTTTTTCCCAGGGGTTGTAAGCATCTTTCTTCAAAGGTTGTTAGTGACAGCTGAAACAAGTCTAGCTGCTGTAGTGATCTGTGCTTTTTACACTTTCCAAAATGGCAAGTATGAAAGGGCTTCCATCTGCTAGAAGCCTTATTTATCATTCTTACAATCTGTCTGGTAGTTGTGCAGTGTTCCAGTTGTTTACCAGTTACCTGCACGCACTGTACAGCACTGTCGTATGGCTATTAAGCCAGACACTGGGGCAGGGAAAGGGGTAAGCTGATGGAATTCATTTACAGCTGGAAGTTGATTCTTAAAAGCAGTTTTTAGTAGACAGATGTGCAGCATAAATGTTATGCTTTAGCATGAGTGTGGAAACCACAAACCACGTGTTCTCCCTAAAACAACTTTTCAAAATAAGGAAACATAGTATGTACTGGATAAAATAAATAACGGGAAGGAAATGGTATCAATGTGGTGTTTTCTCCCTTGGAGATGGTGATTCAGGACAGCTCTGCCAATCAGATCTCAACTATGTCTCACGGTCCCACCATATGTGTATAAGATGCAATACAGATGGATTAGGATCTTGAAAAATGTGGGAGTAGCGTGAGTGTAATTCCTGACCAACCTGTAATTCCTGACTGCAGTTCTGCAGCACTTCCCAGACTCGGTGTGTACAAAGATTTGGTGGGAGGGAGCATGGAGGTTCCAGGAAGAGCTGGGAAAATTGGATCAGTAAATCTGTTACCGTGCAAAATATCCTCAGCTGTTGTACGTGGCAGAATAAGGATAGAGGCCAAAAGAAAAACAGCTCTTACAGTGGGAAGAGCCAGCTCCTGTTTTTTGAAATCCAGCCATTTTGGTTCTGTAGTGGGTTAAGAACTTTGGAACTTGCTCATCGGGTCAGTGGGAATCACTTCACTGCTGATTAATTGCATAGAGATCTAATATGCTTTAATTGATACCTGAAATAACTAGCATTTAGTTCAAGCTGATGGGAAAACAGCAGTTTACAGAAGCAGTAATATTTTTCTCATAATTATAAAAGGGAGAGGAAGATGGCAAGGGATTCTCATTGTTGGTGCCCTGATCATGAACCGCCTAGGGCAGTAGGAACTTCTCTTTCAGAGAAATAGATATGGAGTGAATTTCTCATGATTGCCCCTGGAGCTAATGACGTGCCAGGTACCCACAGTGCGGTCAGTGCTACCCAAACAAAACAGGCTGTTCTCCCCTACAGAAGTGTAAGGTAAACTTGGCTCTTACAGACCTTGATCCAATTTGTGTTTAAGTTCAGTTGTCTGTTCATTTACAGTAATCTCTATTTTAAAGTAATTTTGCTTACTGCAAAATGATTCAAACCATAGCGTGAGGAAAAACACTGACAGCTGAGCAAAGCTTGCTCTGCATAGTAACTGACACATCTTGGCTGCTTTTTTTTTTTTTTTTTAATGCCTCTGTTAATGCTTTCTTTCGTCTTGCAAAGATTGCTCTCCATGCTCAATTTGTTGATTTTTAACTTAGACCCCCTCTAGAGCAGTGGATGCATAAGAATTTGTAGGGTCACTCTTGAGTTTTTAAATGGAGTTAAAAGCTGGCCAGATACCAAATTGTGCTGTATACTTATGAATTTGTATCTTGGCTTACTCTATACCAAGGGAAATACTTGAAATTGCTACGTGTAAACCCTCATTTGAGGTAAATCCACATTGTTTTACTGAGCTGAGTATAACTGAGGCTTAAGTTAACTGAGAATTTGACTCTGGGGGTTCATTGATGTAAGTTTTTACAGGCTCTTGGAACAATAATGAATTCCTGGAAGACAAGATGTTGTGTACGAACATCAGCTGATGTTTCTGTCTATAATTTCACAGACTTCAGGAATTATTTACTTTCTCTAATGTGCTAGGGCACTATTTCTCTTTGAGGATTTTTTGAGCTGATGTTTCACTTGCTATTTTACTAAGAGCAGCTGTTAAAATTGGAAAATATGGTGTTTTGCATAGTTAACATTGTTTTTCTTTATTAAAATTCCTTTAATAAAAATTGCTTTCCTAAATTACAAATTTCTTACTTTTTAACTTGTGTTTAAAAAAAAAAAAGCTATGATAAAGGCTGCAGTAAATCTAGTTTGAATTACTGTAGTACATGCCTTGAAAAATGCTTTCCTTCTTAGGTTTTATGAGGATATGTCCGCAATGCCTAGATTGCTGCCTAGAGCAAGGAAGATTATGTAGACTTATAAATAGATAAGAACCTGTCTAATAGCTGAGAGAGATTTACTGTTTTGTTTACTCTTAGGTTTGTTATCATTTGAGCCATTGACAGACTGAAGATGGAGTGAAGAGATCATCCTACTTGTATTCATTGTTACTTGCACTTCAAGCCAGTGAAACAAATCTTGTGAAAGCAAATAGAGCTATATAATAGCTATATAGGTTTTTTTGGAAAATAATTTTTCTTATGAAGTTCAAAAATAGTGCACCAAATTCTTAAGGCCTTTCGTGGGAAAAACTTCTACTGAGGACTTTGCCTGAGAAAGAGCACTGCACATAGGTCGGCTACAGCAAGCTTGACTTTATCTCAGTTCTCCAGATACCAAAGGATGGTGAGCCTAGCCCGTCCTTAACATGTCCCCTTTCCTCATTTTGTAGAGAGAATAAAACTTCAGCCAAAGTTGATGGAGGATAGAGAACTCAAGGATATTATACTCTCACCTTTTGTGGATATCAGAAACTGGAAAAGAGAACAGGATGTGCCACGTCGCAAGAAAGGCCATAGTAGGAGCTCTACTATGGAGTATTTTATCTGGCTGCAAAGCTTCCTAAAGCTGATGCTCATGTGAACGCTTTGGTCTTGATACCAACAAGAATTCTTTTGTTTGAAATGATGGGGGAAAGGAATGAGAGGAAAGAGTATATATTGTTGAAATAAGATTCTCAGTATTGAAGTGCACAGTCACAAAGTCTAGTCAAAAGACTGCAGTTCGTGCTTTCCCAGTACCAGTTGCTCATTGTTTCCTTTCATACTAACACTTCCTCTCAGGACACAGCTGGTCTTCCTTCTCTCTTACAAATTGCATTGCTCACACTGTGGTGTATTGGCATTGGTGAGGTTGGACAGTAACTGCAGAAGAACCAAGTAAGCCCCAGCTCAAGCTGACTACGACCAGTTCTGTAGGAGGAAGTGCATTCCCGTCTCCCAGTTGCAAAGAGGGTGGTACTGGCAATAAGCAAGCCATCCACCCAAGGTTACTCACATCACCTGTAACAGATGCTACGCACCCAAATCAATGTGTCATTCAGATAAACAGGGGCAGTACAAGCAGCAAGGACACCAGTTTCAGTCCTATGGTAGAGCAAATAAAATACATTTTTAATTGTCAGAGAACAGGCCAGCACTTTGTTTCATAGATGAGTTTTCTTCTAGCATAGTGAAGACTTGGTCTATATGTGTAACTGCAATATAACAAACTGTCAATAACCTGGAGTTGTGTGACTTCAGCCCTAGCCACCACCTGTATAAATTTGCAGGACACCACTGCTGTATAGTGGTTTCTCCTCTGTTCAGAAGGACAGCTGCAGTCTTTCACACCTACCAATTTGTTGTAGAATCATAGAATCATTTAGGTTGGAAAAGACCTTTAAGATCATCAAGTCCAACCATAAACCTAACCCTGCCAAGGCCACCACTAAACCATGTCCCTGAGCACCACATCTACATGTCTTTTTAATACCTCCAGGGATGGTGACTCAACCACTTCCCTGGGCAGCCTGTTCCAATGCTTGACAACCCTTTCGGTGAAGACATTTTTCCTAATATCCAATCTAAACCTCCCCTGGCGCAACTTGAGGCTGTTTCCTCTTGTCCTATCACTTGCTACCTGGGAGAAGAGACCGACACCCACCTCACTACGACCTCCTTTCAGGTAGTTGTAGAGAGCGATAAGGTCTCCCCTCAGCCTCCTCCAGACTAAACACCACCAGTTCTCTCAGCTGCTCCTCATAAGACTTGCCCTCTAGACCCTTCACCAGCTTTGTTGCTCTTCTCTGGACATGC